CTGAAGTTTTACAGCCTTTTGAAGCAGCCTGAGGCAGATTCAGGCAACTGTCACACCACAGAGAAGCACTCTGGGGCATGTTTCAATTCAACCTGGAGGCTTACACCCAGCAGAAAAGCATCCAAGGACATCAGATCCCAACCAAAGACTGACACACGACTCTGGGAGCATGAAAGTCCCCTTCCCTCCCCTATGGCACTGCGTATGTAACAGAACATTATGTGAAACAAGACGAGTTCTGGAAATCAAGATTCAACAAGATACCACCACAAGACACTGGAGCAAAAATTATCTATTTTATTACAAAATCAAAATCAAACAGATGCCTTTCAGTCTAACAAACAATGCCACAGGCAGAAATGTGCTGGGGCAGGGTAAGTTCAATATAAACTCAGGCCACAGAAAGTGGTGCCTTCACACAAATGAATCCCACCAAAATCCAGTTCCCTCCAACACACTATGTCCTTGGAGGATCAGCAAAAAAGGAAAGATCTTTACTTCTGGCAGGAAGAGCAGATGACTTGCACTGTAGAGCCCTGGTTCTCTTCTCTGTCCCAGCTGTTTTCAGCTGTCATTCAAAGTAGAGCTGGAGAGCCCAAGAGGACTCAAAGGATGAAGAGAGACATGCCCAGGGTCTGCTTCCAGGCACAATGCTGACACTCCTCATGCCCCAGCTTCAGTAGGATGCTACTGATGCAAGGCAGAGCAGAACATGCTTACCACCACCAGATAAGGACAGGTTTGGCCTGGCAACCAGGTGGGCTGGCCAGTTATCTGTCAATAAAAGCAACATGGGAAGAGAGCAGTTGAGGCACTGTTCTCTTCTTATCAGTACAGACTGTTTGGACAACTCATAGGATGAGTTGTATATATTACATGAATCAGGACCAGTACTGTCTGCATGGGCTCCCAACACACAAAACCAGAACAAGTAACCCAACCCCTGCCCAGACATCACACGATCATGCTGGCTGGGTCTTGCATGCCAATGTACAAGTGTTGCCAAAAGCTGCTCGGAGGCCTGTACACACCCAGCAAGCCAGGATGCTGGGACCTGGACTTCTCCCGTGAAAGTAAGGGGGGAAGCAATATAACGCTTGGATCCCAAGCCATCCATAAAGTCAACTCTAGCATAGCAACATGAACACCCACCAATACTAACGTCAACAGCCACCTCATTTGGCTTCCTTGAAGAACTGACCCAATTTTAATGGCAAACTACATGTGAATGCAGGCCTTTTAGAGGGGAAGGACACAAGGATGAGAAAAAGGAGGTTCGCAGAAGGATTTATGTGACAGGCAGCAGCACCGGCTGGCTGGTGTCTGCCATTTCCAGAAAAAGATGCAGTGACTTTCCACAACTCTGCACTCCACCTGCAATCTTGTGTGGGGCATTGCCTAACCGCAGTGGCTGGCTGACAGAACTCCTATAGGCATCCAAGTGGCTGCTTTTGCTGGACGCAACTATGTATTAAAAGAAAAAAGAAAAAAAAAAAAGACAAAACAACCACCAACCAAGCAGCCAGAGCTTTTAATTCCTAAAACTAGCATATTAAAAAAGGAACTTTTTTTATACAGTTGGGTTCATTCTTTACTCCTACAAAAGGATTACTGAGTGACAGGGACATTTCTAACTATACACTAAACCAAATCATTTCAACACACAAAAGATGTGTACTGGGCATTTAAAAAGAGAAGATTCAATCAAGAAGATGGGAGCTTGCAGGTCAGTAAAGCACATACACTGTATGTGAGGAACCATGAAGATCCAGCAGCAGCAGAATCTGCTCCTGTTAGAGGAATCCTTTATATTATGATGGTCTGATATATACTTCAGAGATTACCAGAGGTGTTTTTAAACCACGTCAAATGCTTTAATCAGCTCCAATCTACTTCCCAGAGGAAGAGTTATTATTACTATTAAAAAGATGGTTTTTTTATAGACAGATTGTGGGGTTTTTTAACTTTCCATCTTGGCAACAAGGCACTAACTTACTGCACCAGGACACTCCTGCTGTGATGAGGTTATCTCAAGGTATTGTCACGATGACATGTCACAGATTGAAGATGCTGTGTTGCAAGATCTTTTACCAAAGCAACAAAGCCTCAAGGGACAAGCCCAGTCTCTACAGTAACACAATGGTGTCACACACAATTGTTGGTGTGATCTAATATTAGCATGGCATATCATCATCTCCAACTACAGGTTCTGGGTCCAGAGACGAGTGGCACAAGGATTGCCAGGTCTGAAGTGGGAGGCTGCTCAGAACACTTCCTATGAACAGGCAAGTGCTGCCAGTGGTTGGAAATGCACAAAGCAAAACACTGTGTTCCCACCACTCTCTGCCCAAACCAAGGATTGCTGATATGGGTGTCCCTGTCCTACCGCTGACTTTACAATCGTATCTGAGCTTAAGAAAGAAACAACTCTGGAAAAACTGCTGGTAGTTGAAACAGCCCCTGGGGCCTCCAAGAGACCCAGCTCCTCGATCCAAGCCTCCACTGTTATTGGAGTGTGATAACACAGGAGGTACTGATAACTGGGTGAAGTGGATCCTCTAAGACAGGCAGGCACACCACTGTGCAGGAGAGAAGCCTGGGATTCACAACCACCAAAGACAACAAGTCATTGCAGACAGTCCTTTCCTGGTGAGCATGGCCCAAGCTGTAGAGTTGAAACACGACTAAACCAGACTCTTGGGACTCAGCAGCAGGATTGTGTCTTTCTGCACTGACAAATATGTTCTTTGCTCTTCAGCAAAGCAACAGGCAGGCTGGTGCTGCTTTTAGAAGGCTTCTCAGTATTTTTATTGTTGTACAACATACAGATGAACACTTTGTCAGAGAGGAAGATGTGTGACTTCACTCTGCTGACTCTACTAGGCCTACAGCTCCCACGTCCTTCCTACAGCGTTAGATTCCCGAGGCACTGCACATCTTCGCTAAGCATGTCTTCTGAGCCTGGATAGTAATGCATTTACAATTCATTTCTGCCCAACTTGCAACAGGTGCAGAAACTACTTTTGTATGTCCTTAATAAAACCCTTTTCTATCCCTACTTTAAGCAGCTTTGAAGTGCACCAATACTTCGGCAAAATCTGTGCTCTCTCAAAAGCCCAATTGCCTGTGAGTTGCACAGGGCTTTACAGTAAGAAAAGAAGGGGTTCAGCTGCTCCCAAGAAGCATTTGGTATCTGGGGCACTGTGTGCACATCTGAAAGCACAAGCCATGCCGATATACTTGCTCCTTTGTGCATGAGGATGTTAAGGTTTGCAACTGAATGATGGTTTGGTGGCAGAAATGAATGCATTACTGTAATCCATTAAATGCAAAGTGTCCCTTTAACCCTAACAGCCTTCAAAAGCAAAGGGAGGAACAGAACAGTGACTCCAACCCCTGTACAAGACAACTGTACAATTTACATATATATTTATATACAGTATATAAAATTATCTTTCTCTGAGTCCCAGTGAACTCAATTTTACGTCATCAGTAGCTGTTCCAATTTTAAAAAGTCATGATCCTGCTTCCCCCCACTCTCTAAAGTATTAGATAATGGCATTGAAAAGCAATTAAAAACAAACCCAAACCCAAACCAATTATTAAAAAGTGCAAATGTTCTGGGTGCCACTTCTGCTACGTTGGATGTTGCTGATGCTGCATGCTTGCTCACAAGCAGCAAGGTGTCTGTCCGTCTGTCGCTGGATCTTTTTTTCCTTTGGGTCGGCTCCTGCCTTCCCTTCCTTCTTCTGCTGCTACACCAGGCGACCTACTGAAAGGGTGGGGTGGACAAGGAGGAAAGAAAACAAAACAGAAGCAGGGAAAGTGAGGAAAAAAGGCAAATTAAAACCAAAAGGGTACCTGACTGATAAAGACACAGTACAGCCTCTGCTGCAGCCATGGCCCCAGAAGACTGAGATCCCGGAGTAAGCTGTGAGGCTAAAAACAACCAGGGGCTAATAAGACAGCCTTGCTGAAAAAAGTGTTGAATGAGTCACACCGAGCCATAGGGATTGAAGCATTTTTAAACAAACTACCACTTTCCTCTCCCTCCTCCTCCGTGGAAACGGGCACGCAGTCTGGGCAAACAATTGGTCCAACATCTCTCCCTCTGCTCTTCCACCAGCTGGGGCTGATGCAGAAGGCTACAGCCAGGCTACCCTGCCACCATCTCCCCCGTGAGCCACAGCCAGCTGCCTGCTCCCCTACTAGGCCTTGAAGGAGGTAAGCTTTGGGTCTTAGGTGAGGGCAAAGCCATCTCTCCCCACCTCTGCAACAGCACAATGCAGTGGTCTCCCTGCTCAAAGCTTCTTGGAGACCTGCCTGCACCAGGCACTCTGAAGCCTACCAAGCTACTGAATCTGTGGCGGGGATACAGCATACTTGGAGCTTGGGGTCCCAGAACCCTGCTGAGCTATTAGTGTCCCAGGGGACGGTGCAAGGGTGCTGCTTAACAAGACAGATGGATGCACACACCCCTACGCTCATTTCTTCAGAGAGCTTTTGTTAAGCCCCTCATCAAAGGTTCTTAAAGAATCAAAGCTCTTAGAGGATCAGAGAAAGAGGTCTGTCGATTAATTTCAGGTGAAAACATGCTGAAGAGAAGGCAGAAGCATGGATCGGGTTTTCAGAAAGGAGAAAGGTTACCAGACAGGCCTCACTGGGATCGACACTAATTGACATGCCCTGCCACAGGAAGTGAATACTGTCAAACACAAAATTACCCCAGACAGTCATACTTGAAACTGACTGTACAGCTCTGCAAAAGGTGCTCACAGCGCTCAATTACCAGCTCATAAAAACAGCGTATTGACTTCAATGTCTATACATGCAACAGCGTGTGAGTGGGCAGCAGGGATGACCCGTCCTACACTAAAAACTCTGAATGACTAGGAAAGACATTGAAGCCACAGTATGCACTTTTTTAATGCCTCTGCTCAGCTTTTAGCAGCAGACAAAAATCAAATACATGCTCAGAACTGAGGATGCACCAGGAAACATCACTGTATAAAGCTTCGCTGATCTTTATTTTCAGTTATCTGATCAGCCCACCTCATCAGGACCAGATAAGGTACCCAGAAACACAAGGAGGATAGCAAGAGGTATAGGAAGACTTCTGTCATTAAGAAAATATATAGCCTAGGTCTTTTCAACACAGAAAGGAGTCTAACCAGACGTATGTTGGAGGGCTTTAGAACAACAAGTGGCAGGAGACAGACAGGCAGGGGAAAACTGCTCACTTTCTCACAATCCAAAATAAGAAGCCCCCAATGAAACCAGGAGGCAGCAGGACTAAAAGCAAAACAAATGAAAGTCGTCCTTCATGCCCGATGAAAGGGTGCGATTCGCTGCCACGAAATACAGAGGAGAGCAGACCTTCACCAGGACAGAAGAATCTTCACAGGAACTTGTCCATGGAGTAATGTAATGTAAACACAACAAATCACCTAAATCGTTGCTTGCTAGAAGCAGGGAGAATAGGTTAGGCGAGTGTTCATCCCATAGCTGCTGTATCCTATTCTAATTCCTTAGCAATGTACTGTCTGCCCCAGCTGAAGACAGTGCTGGACTTCAGATGATGCAGCTGAGCTGCATGTTATTATATTCACACCTCTTATGAACAACTGTCGTTTCCAGCTGTTTCTATGTTGATATTTGAGAACATAGGAGAGTGGGGGAGAATGAGTTTTGGGATGCATGGTTATCAGAGGAAAGAAGAAAACATTTTGACAAGATACTCACTGAAAGGGTTAAGGCCTTGTCTTTTTCCATTGGGGAAACTGCTCAGGCTACCTGTAAAATCCAAGAACCATGTTAAAGGCAATAAAAGCCGTGGCATGACAAAGGTGCCTCCCCACTGTCTGCTGCCTGAGCGCAGGTTCAAAGGAGCTCCTCCGAGTGTGCACACAGCAAGTCCTGCCAGCACTCCATAAGATTCACATGCAAGAGTCAGACTAATGTGCCTGAGGTGACAGATGTTAAATACCTGGTGTTGCAGTATCTGATGTTGTGAAATCCAGAGAGCAAGAAGCAACAATTACAAGGCTAAACTGAACTGTGGAAGGAGGAAGAAGAAAGGAAAGATGCAAGTAGTGCCATGAAGTTTCTCAAAACAGTTTTGCTAAGAGCAAGCAAAATAATGTTGTGTAGACAGGGGGCAGCCAGAAAAGCAAAGGTGAAGGCAATACGGACAGCCAAAGTTTACTAAATCTTTAGCTTGGACCAAACAAACAGGTGCCTAAAAATCAAAGACCTGAACTCACACCTGGCAGAAGGGCAGGGACAGACTGCAGAACTCTGACTGCATCAGGAGATACAGGCACACATACCCTACACCAGATGGAGCTCATGACAAGTGCTCTCACCTCAACAATAGACCTGTTCCTACCATGCACTGGGTAGAGACAACTCAGGGATTACAGGAGCTCTTGAAAGCACGTCATATTTCCTGCTAGCTGCTTGGTCTGATTTCAGCTGAATGATTAGCTGGAGAGGGGAACTCCTGCTCCCAGCCAGAAGCAGTACGCCTCTTGCCACCTTCCACTCCGGCCCAGCCTAAGACTTATCTTTGATCTGTGCATGCATCTGACCTGCGTGCACAGCTTGCTTTGCACATTAAGTACTTTGCACACTCACAGCTACAGCAAACTCTGTGCAAGAGCAAGCGGAGCAGACGCTCAAGAGCGCAGGGGTGAGACCGGGGAAGCCGCAGGGTGGGGAGGCTGCGCTACAGCACAGGAGCAGAACGACCTGGAAGGAAAAAAGAGAGGGACAGAAAGGTGGCAGTGGCTGGGTTTGAAATGGGTCAGAAAGCACAACCCGTTGGCTTTAGAGATTGTTAATAAGAGAAACAGTATAAACACAGTAAGTTATTTCAAGGCCCCCCGAACGCCGGCCTCATCTCAGCCATCCGCCCTGGCGAGATCAGAGGAACCGCTGTTATTCACTTATTTCTGCGCCCGTGTATAAAAAGCAGAGCTCCGTTGCCAAGGGGCAGATTCCTCCAGAGCTAATTGGGACTCTCCCGGGGGAGCCGGCAATAAAAACGCGGGGCCGGCAGGAGCCGCCG